TTCTGCCACACGTAAGGTAATCAAGAATTGGAGCCAACTTCCACTGCAGCTAACACATATGATGGTAGAATCTCTTAATTATTTAGTTCAAATAAACCCAAATCCAGTGCCATTGAGTAGATTATAACTCAGTGACTCTTCATCATGTTTCGGAAGCTATAAATCTTTCTGGCAGAAAACTGTCCATCTTTTTCCCTTAGAACAGCTAGTAGAATCAAACTGCTAGCCTTTTGGTTAGGTGCTCAGTATGGTATGCACTACATCACCAGAGCTCCGATTAATTTGATAGGGTCTAAAAATCCTATGTCCAGTCAAAGATGTGGAACTGATAATAAAAGGGCAGCTTCCTCAAAAAAATAAAAACTACTTCTATTCTACTAACTGTAACCTGTTTTTTAATAAGAAAATGCAATTAACATCAGCTGTTCAATAATATTCTTAAGAATTTGCCACCATAGGGCCTCCCCAGGAGGAGCTCTGGTGGCATAGTCCAGAAGAAGATGCCCTGCTGATGCAAAGGTGGCACCTCTCTGGAGGTTTAAATCCACCAGTGGCTCAGAAGGAGGAAGAGAGGCAATCTCCCAGCCTGTAATTCAGAGCCTCTGAAAACCAATGGAGGGTCAGCTATGAGTTGGTTCTGATTCAATAGCAAAGAGAAAGAGAGGGTCATGTGCTAGATCATCAAAGGATGACTTTTTAGTAAACAATAGATATATATGTAAAAAACTAGTAATTCTGGCTCCACCTGCACACAAAACAAAAAAATTCTATGTTAAGAACTGCCAAACAATCAACACATTTATACACTGGAATGAAGCCCATAGGCCAACATGATAATTTTTCCGCTTTGTAAAAAGAAAAGCAAGGGCAATGGAAAACCTGAGATGGGAAAAGAGTGATGACTGAACAGTGCTCGCTTCAGCTAACACTGGAATGATACACAGAAGATTAGCATGGCCTCTGCATAAGATGACATGAAAATTCATGAAGCATTCCATATTTTTTAAAAAAGAAAAAGAGTAATGGCTGAACAGTATGATAAACATAATGTCAAAAAAAATTTTAAAAATAAAAATAAAATTTAAAAAACATAATTAATGTCACTGAACTATGTATGTGAAGATTAATGAAATGTCAACTGCTTTGCTACATTTATAACTGTCACAACTAAAAACTTATTTTTAGAGTGAACTGTAATAAACATTATGAATAGTATGTTTATGTATGACCTAGAGGTTTTAATATCTATTGGTAGCTTTTGTCTGATCTAATTATTTGTTGGTTGCAAGCTTGGTGATTTTCTAATTCATAAATTCCTTCTCTATTTATTAACTGGTAATTTCGCATAAGAAGACCTTTTTCTTTCATTCATTTTCAAATGACATATATTTCCTACAGTCAAACAGGAGTCTCTGGATGCACAAATGATTATGCATTCAACTACTAACCAAAAAAGAAATGGTAGTATGAAGCTACACAGAGGTGACTCAGAAGAAAGGTCTGGCATGCTACATCCAAAGGACTGAAGCCATATGGAGCATGGAGTACAGTTCTACTCTGAAATGCACAAGGTTACACTAAGCCAGGATCAATTCAGCTTAGTTTGGGATTTTTTTGGATTAAAGTGCATATAACTCAAGTATAAATAATAAATTTTTATGAAAACATATAAACAGAGAGAGACATCACCAAACAAACACTAAATCGGCTGATTTTTTTTTTTTTTGGTACCGTCAAATCGTATCTGACAGGTACAGGAGGAGATTGCCCTCCTTCTCCAGCAGAGCATCTGGTGGATTCGAACCGCAAAGCTCTGGGATTGTAGTACAGCTTCTTGCCACTAGGCCACCAGAGCTCCCTTAAATCGGATGATTTTTTTAATGAAATCAAATCTATTATCATCTGAATTTTTAATTCCCATTGTTTTCACAGTACAACTGTTCCAAATTTGGCTAATGGGAACTAGTTCATATGTAATTCTAGCATGGTCCAATTCAGTTTTTAAGCATTTACCTCTAGTACAAAAAAGTTTCATCTTAGACCTGGAATAATCGATTTCTCTAAGGAGCTCTGGTTTATTCTGAGGGAAATACTACGCCAAAACCAACATCTTAGCATAAAGTGTGGTTGCTCTTACTGGCATATTATTGCTTCTAGATCTTTTTAGAGGTTAAGCTGGATTTAAAAAATAAATAAATAATTTCAAATTTCCAGTTCATCCTGGTTAATTCTGATCCTACAAGTTTCTCTCTCCTTTGGCCATCCCTAACATTCACCCTCCCTCTCTTATAGTGAAAGCGGTAGTTCTCAGTATCATTTTAGCGTGTCTGTTCATTTGCTCTATCCCACAAAACACTCAAAATAACCTCAGAATTATTACAATAGTAACAGTTTTAATAACAAAACTAGTAAATAGGCTTCTCTGTAATTTTTTTTGTTTCTCAGAATATGTCTGACCAACTCAAAAGAACACCACAAGGAATTTGAGGGGGGACACCAAAAGGAAATTTCATCACACACTAACAACTTGTTTAATTGGTAAAGCTTTTAGGCAGTTCTTCAGAGCTGAGTCATCACATCAGAGAATTAAATGTTTCAAGTCTAGAAAGAAAATGACCACTGCATTGTCAAAGATGATTAGAACCTCTGTGATGAACTCATACAAAAAGAAAGTCTCTTAATGGGAAAGGCAATAAAAAATAAGGACCTGGGTAGAAATTATAATTAATTACATTAATCAATGAAAATATTATTAAACATGTATGAACAATCCAATCAAATTATGTCATAAATAAAAATGCATTTAAATGAGAAAATCATATGGTTTATAAACTTTCAGATGAATAAATGAAAGGAAAAAGGGGTAGGGAGAAGTCTATAAATTATTGTATGAAAAATTAGCATGGTTTGTAAACCTTCACTCAAATAAAAAAGGGGATGAAATACCTTAATAATTTACAATGTTGGAGTTGTTTTTAGGTGCTTTCACCTCGACTATGACTCAGAGAGACCCTATGCATAACAGATCTGAATCTTGCCCTATCCTGCTTTTCTGACTTAATCATTGGCGACACACTTGAACCCTCACTGCAGTCACTGTATCAATCCATCTCTCTCTTTCGCTGACCCTCCACCTTTCCAAGCATGATGTCCCTTTCCAAGGAACAGCTCCCACTAACAACATGCCCAAAATATGTGAGGCAAAGCTTCACCATCCTTGCCTCTAAGAAGCACTCTGGTCCCACTTTCTCTAAGATATATCTGTTTGTTCTCTTGGCCATCCATGGGATAATCAGTGCTCTTCTCCAACACCACAACTCAAAAGTATCAATTCTTCTTCTGTCATCCTTAGTCACTGTCCAGCTCTCAGATGCATAGCAGGCAACTGGAAAGATCATGGCCTAAACCTTAGACTTTAAACTGACAGCACTGCACTTCAGAACTTTGGACAGGTCCCCAAGTGCAGACTTTCCCAGTGTAATACAGTTCCAGATCTCCTGGCTCTTGGTACTAAGGGTGTTGACTGTGGATACAAATGAGATTAAATCATCCACAATTTCAATCTTTTCTCCGTCTATCATGATGCTGCCTACTGATCCAGTGGTGAGGATTTGTTTCCATGACGTTGAGATGTAATCCGTATGTAATCCTTTAGGCTATAGTCTTTGATCATCTACAACAAGCACTGCAAGTCCTCCTCACTTTAAGCAAGCAAGGCTATGTCATCTGTGTAACACAGGTAGTTGATGAGCCTTCCTCCAATCTTGACGCCATTCCTTCATAAAATTCAGTTTCTTGAATGATCTGCACAGCATACAGACTGGATAGGTATGGGGTAAGGATATATCCCTGATGCACATCTTTCTTAACTTTAAACCATGTAGTATTCCCTTGCTCTGTTCATACAAAAGTTTCCTGGTCTAGGAATAAATTGCATTTAGGCACAATCAAGGGTTCGGGTATTTCCATTCTTCTCAGTAGTAGCCATAACCTTTTCTAATGACTTTCCATGAAATTCACAGGCTTATCCAGGACACCTAATACCTTTTTGCTATCAAAGTATATAAAAAGCTAAATTATTACTAAGAAAGTTATTCTGTAACCACAAAGTCAGAACAAGAAAAGCAGAAATGGCAGGAGGAAAAGATATGTCCTGAGCTCTAGAAAAGCAAGCTTCACTAACAATGCCACTGGCCTGTCCTTGAAGGGAGAGGTAACAGGACTCCTCCTCATTCAAGTCCAGTGTCCTTTATCTTAGACAACTATGTGCTTATTTCTGCTTCTCTTACTCTGCTTCTCTTACTCCTAGTTTTGATACAATTATTCACATCTTGTTAACACAGTATTTCTTCACGTGTCTTTAAGTCAATTACTAAGATTCAGCTAAGTTGCTATTGCTTAAATCCACTCATTGGTTGCTTAAAATAGGCTAAGGTTCTACGGGCATCTCCCTGTCCCAGTCTAGAGCCTTATACACATGTAGGTATACTCACACACACATCCTTCAAATACAATTCTTAAGACCACAAAGAAAAAGGAATAGGGGAAAAAAGAAAAGCAAATAAACTAAAACCACTCTTTCACTCTCATTTCTGCTAATCATCAAAATAAAATACTCAAAACTAGTCAGTTTATCTATGAAACTGGCTCTACAGTATGGAGTTACTTCATCTGTCTTTTCTGTCAAAAACTATTCAAAGGGGAGCTCTGGTGGCCTAGTGGCAAGAAGCTGCAACTACAATCCCAGAGGCTCACGGTTCGAATCCACCAGATGCTCTGCAGGGAAAAGGAGGGACACTCTCCTCCTGTACCAGTCAGATCTGATTTGACGGTACACTCACACAAAAATAAAAAAAAAATAAAAAAACTATTCAAAATTTAAAAGTTCAGAGGCAATGACAGAGATATGTGAACTGCCTCCCATGACCAGATAAACTATTCTGTATGGTCAATGTACATAGAACTCTTTTAAATTTTAAATGGCCCATGGACATTGATACCTGAGATTTGACACGTCTTGTTCTCTTCGGTAGAATGTTCATTCGGGTGCCAGGCTCTGGGGAAGCTTGGGTATCAGTGCCAAGAACCTCAGGCTCCACTTTTTCTTTAAGATCTAAATTGGGTATTTGTACACCCTAAAAGATCAGAGCACAGAAAGAGAGCAGATTCACTGATAAGGAGTCAGGTTTAAGAATCAATGGAGAAATAACAAATATCTAATAAGTTTCTAGAAATGCACAAAATCAGAAAGCAACTCTCCCCAAACAAATCTACAGATTCAAGGCAATCTACAGCAAAGTCCTAAAAGGTTTTTGTTGTTGAAATTAAATGATGACCTTAAAATTCAAATAGAAAAGTAGTTTTGAAAAAGAACAAGGACGGAGAACTTATTCTACTGGACACCACAATGTAGTATAAAGCTGCAGTAAGCAGGACTAACGTATAAATAGATAAATATAGAGATCAATAGAACAAAAGAGTCCAAAAATAAACCTATGAAAAAAAGGGGGAAAAAAAATTCAACTTCACTGTCTTCAAGTCAGAACCAACTCACAGCCAACCTTATGAGTTTTTAGGAGGCTGTAAATCCCACAGAAGATCGTCCATCTTTCTCCCTTGGAGCCTTGGGGGATTCAAAACTTCAAGATGCTGCTCTTGGGTTAATAGTGCAACACTCTACGGACTACACCACCAGAGCTCCCTGAGTGGTCAACTAATATTCAATAGGGAGTTCTGCAAGGAGATGGCACTAATAGCTGTAAGGCAACACTTGTCTGGCATTTCAGATTCACTGTTATGTGTCATCAAGTCACCTGTGACTCATAGCAATCGTATGTACAACAGCTCTGAAGCCTGCCCTGTCCTGAGCCAGTCTCACTGACTCCAATACACATATCCCCATTTTCCCAGTTACTATATCAATCATAATGTCCTTCTCCAAGGACCAGTCCCTCCTGGGCATGTGCCCAAAGTTTTTGAGACAGAGCTTCAAAATCCTAGCCTCCAAGAAGAAACCTGGTTTCACCCTCTCTCTCCAAGACAGACCTATTTGTTTTCTTGGAGGTTCATGGGATGTTCAAGACTCTTTTCCAGCACCACACGAATCTCTTTCAGTGCCACCGATTTAGTCAATGGAGGATTGGCAATGAGTCAGTTCCAACTCAATGACCATAATAAGCGAGTTTAAGATTTTCAACAGAAGTACTGAAACTAATTCTTTGGAAAAGGATTCTCTCTTCACCAATAGGTGTTAAAACAACCAGGTATGTTTAAGCCAAATCCACTGCAGCTGATCGTAATTCTAACCAATCCAATAGTACAAAGTAGAGTTGCCTCAGAGTTTCCCAAGACTATAATCTTTACAAGAAGCAGACTGTCATCTCTCTCTCCCATGAAGTAGTTGATCCGTTTGAAGTGCTGACAGGTAACACTTAACCAGTGTGACACGAAGGCTCCAAAATCCATTTCCACTGAGTGAATTTTGACCCATAGCAACGCTACAGAACAGAGCAGCACTGTTTCAAGGGTTCCCAACGCTGTAATCTTTACAGACACTGACTGCCATGTCTTTCTCCTAAGGAATGGCTGGTGGGTTCAAACCATCAACCTTTCAGTTAGTAGCTGAGTACTTAACCAATACACTAGCAAAGTTCCTTACAATGGATTATAACTGTTTAAGTCTTTATGTTTAAACATAGTGTGTGTTAAAGAAAGAAGTAAAATGAAAACATTTATAAATGGAAAAAAAAAGAAAATCTCTTCTAAGTGTCAAGTTAGGAAACTATTTCTTAGCTATGACATCAAAAACAAAAACCCCTTAAAAAAAACAAAAAAAAAACTTGGTCACACCAAAATTAGAAATTTTTTGCTCTTCCAAGTAGATATTCTTATGAAAATTAAAAGACAATACTACGACTAGAGGAAATATGTGCAAAATACTTATCTGGTAAAGGACTTGTATCCAAAATACAAAAGAACTCCTACAAGTATAAGGAAATAAGTATTCTAATTATTAAAAAAAGCTTTGAACAGACACTTCAAAGCAGACACACAAAGAGCTAATGGACACATGAAAAGATGGCACAGCATTAACCAAAACCAATTCAAACCAGTTGCCATCCAGCCAATTCTAAACCATGGCAACGCAGTTTGTGTCAGATGGGAACTAGGCTCTGCAGGGTTTCCAGTGGCTGCCTTTTCAGATTACCAGGAATTTCTTCCAATGTTTCTCTGGCTGTAAGTCAAGAATGTTAGCTGCTTGTACCACTCAGGGCCCTCACAATTTTATTAGCCAATATTAACATGCAAATTGACTGAAAGATAAACTGCCATTTAAAAAGCATCACTGTCGTGGAGTTGGAACCAACTCATGGGAAGCCCTCCAGTACGTTTCCAAGGCTATAAAAATCATACAGGAGGAAAGCCATACAGCCACTGGGAGATTCAAACCCCAGAGAGGTGTGGTCTTTGGATTTTCTATGCCACCAGAGCTCCCACCATAACCAATGTTGTTGTTTGTTTTGTACCTTCAAGTCAGATTCAACTCATAAATGATCCCCCGGCAGGTTTTCAGAGGCTATAAATCACACGAAACGAGACTATCCATCTTTCTCTCATGAAAAGCTGGTGAACTCAAACTGCTTGCCTTTGAAGTGGCAGTGCAACTCCTTATCATTAAGCAACCAGAGGTCCCTGTCATAGTCATCAAGGTGGCTAAAATAAAAAAAGACACAGAGAAGCTAGAAGCCTTATAATAAGAGCTTCTGTGGTACTTACAAGGGAGCTCTGGAAGCACAGCCCATAGTAAGATGCTCTACTAACCCAAAGGCCATGTTTCTCAATGATCTGAATCCACCAGCAGCTCTTAACAGAAAATGATGGGCAATCTCCCCCACTGCAAACTGCAGCCTTGGAAACCTTCTGGAGGGTCAGCTATGAGCCAGAAAAGCTCATGACTCTGAACTCCAGGACAAAGAGAAAGAGAGAAGCCTTATAGAATACTAATAGGAATGTAAAGTGATTTGGTCATTTTGGAAAAGTTTGATAATTTCTTAAAAAGCTAAACATAAACTTACCATATAACCACACAATTCCATTCTTAGGTACATTAGCCAAGAAAAATGAAAACGTATGTCCACACAAAGACCTAGCTACTTATAGAAGCATTCTTTATAGCCCTATGTATCACCTAATCAAAGAATAAGCAAAACATAGAATATCATGTGACAAAATATTCATGAATCATACAAAGGTGTGATGAACTAATACATGCTATAGAGCCTGGGTGCCCCTTGAGACAGTAAGTGAAGTAAGTCAAACACAAAGTTATATTGTCTGACTACTTTATATGAAATTTCAATAGAAAAAATAAAACCACAGAGACAGAAAGCAGATCAGGGTGGACTATGTTTGTAGGTAAGGGCAGGAATTAATTACAAATGAGCACAAGGGAAATATCAGAGTTGATGAAAGTATCCTAAAAATGAGTTTTTGCAATTGTGGGAGTGTTGCCTTCAAGTCAATTCCAAATCATGGTGACCCCATGTGTGCAGAACACAGCAGTAATCTCACAACTGTGAGTTTTTGGAAGCAAGATGTCTAGACTGTCTTCTGAGGTGCCATTGCTTAGATTAAAAATTCCACCTTTTTTTGCATCAGAACATAACTATTTGTGCCATCCACAGATTCCAACTGTTGCGTAATATATAAAGTTACTGAACTAGAATGGGTAAATTCTATGGTATGTAAATCATAGCTATGAAGCTCTTTTAAAAAAATTCATGAATCCAAGAAAAAGAACTTTTACTAAAAGCTTAAGTCATGAAGATTATTCTAAGTAAGAAAACATCCTTAACTACCTTTATCTTTCATAAACTATCAAAGAGAGATGGGACACTGCTTCCCTAAATTTTGGTACCTAGGGAATTCAATTCCATCATGCTTTGCATAGAGAGCTGCTAATGTGTCATGAAGACGATGGTGTGAAATTTCAAAATGGAAAATTCACTCCTAAGAAATGTATGTTTCTCACCATAAGGCTGACACCAGACTGGAAGAGTTCATATGGGTAGAGAATTCTTTCATAGTGTGACTTCAAAAGAGATCCAGTTCCTTTTCCTGGTAGATATCCTAAGCGGCTACCCACTTTAGACCACTTCTTCTCTTTGGTGACCATTTCAAAGCCTCCTTTGCTGGCAACAATCTGGTGAGGGGAAAAAGTATAAATTATTTAAGGAAAGAAGGATAAAAGGGTTCTCTATATATCACCTGCTAAATGTCATTCTTGATGGACAATATCCTCCTGTACAAGTCAGATCTGATGACGGTACACACAAAAAGTAATAAAAATACTCTGTAGATGTTCATTGAAATTAGTAATAATAATAATAATAATGGAATTTTTTTTAAAAGTAATAAAAATAATTTTTTTTTAAAGTTTATAAAAAAGAATGTCTTTAAGGCCTGTGTCAGGAAAAGGAAGTCTTACTCATAAACAGTGCCACCCAAAGGTAATAAAGGAGGTCAGAATTCCTTCCACTGTGGAAAGCTGGGCCACTTCAGTAGACAGTGTCACAGACGAGAGCCACAGACAGGCAAGGGAGTAGAGAGGAAGCTCCCATTCACTTGCTTTAAGTGTGGATCTGAAGGACACTTGGCCAAGGTGGCCCACATCAGGTCCTCGTGGCTGACAGGACTGATAGACCCCAGCTCCCAGCTGGAAACAAAGGAGGATGCTTCAATGATTCAGACCCTCCCAGAAGAGCCATGGGTGAGCATTAACATTACTGGTAAGTATATTCATTTTCTCTTGGACACAAGAGCCTATTATTTGGTACTAAAAGCCTTCTGGGATCCCAACTCTTCTCACTATTTCTTAGTTGTTGGAACTAACAGAAAACCTCATAAGCAGTTCCTTACTTCACTTCTGCCTTGCATGCGGACTTCTGAGCTGTAAAACAACCCAGTGGCAGATGAAATTTGGTTCAGGACTTAAGAACAATAACTGGCATAGTTGAGCCTCTACATCTTGTGGTTCCTAACCTTTATACTATAATAGAAAAAGTGCTAGTCAATAAGCCTTTTATTTTAAGAACTACCTTCCCTCTGTAACTTGATTTGTGCCACTGTTAGAACCTCTACTTGGAATATTATTGCTTTTAATTTTTGATTCATGTACTTTTAACTTGTTAGTTAAATCTGTATCTTCTAGCCTGCAACAGTTCCATGATATATGTTCAAAGATATGAACATGTATGGCTAAGCACAAGTGATAACAATGCATCTAAATTCCAAAATCAATCTCCATAATAGTCTATGTGTTTCCTATTGCCAAAAGGGCCCTTAGAGTAGTGAGAGAAGATCTTCGCCCTGAAACCTACAGCATCCCTTTTCAGCAGGAAATACATTGTCCTCTTTTCTTTATGAATCAAGGTGAACTCTCTCTCTCAGAGAGGAGTGATATAGGCAATGGCAAAGGACACAATGACAAAGGAGATTAATCAGACTGGTTTTGACAAGCACTGTGGCAATAGGACAATTAAAACGGACTTTCAAGGAAAAAAAGAGAGGAATGAACTGGGGGGAGGGTAGAGAAAACAGTGCAACAATGAATGATGGAAATACAAAATCTCTGTAAATGTTCATTAAAATAAAATAAAATTTAAGAAAAAAAAGAATGTCATTCTGAACTCTTAAGTTTCAAAGTTTCTTCGAAAAAGTATCTGACAAAACTGGGCTTTGTCAACATTTAAACTAAGAAACTGTAACTATCACTGGGGATTTTAATACTAAGGAGTTATAATACTATTGGGTCTACTTTCAAAGCAAAGATTCAAAATATTTAATGGTTTTGTATTTTGAACATTATTCTTTGAGAAAACGGAAAACCTGTACACTCTATATATTTAAGATGCTACAATCCTTCACAATGAAATAGGAGTAAAAATATAAACAAAACTAAATATGACAACAAAGACAAGTTATACAACTCAAAAGGAAAGAAAATTCTGAAATTAAAAACTTATGGAACTTAGGGGAGCTCTGGTGGCCTAGTGGCAAGAAGCTGCACTGCAAGCCCAGAGGCGCACGGTTCGAATTCACCAGATGCTCTGCCAGGAAAGGAGGGACAATCTCCTCCTGTACCAGTCCGATCCAATTTGACGGTACACACACACACAAACACAAATTTAAAAAACCCAAAACTTATGGAACTTAACCAAAATATTAAGCTGAGAATGAATTCAAAGGATAGTTCTGAGTAAGAAGTCAGGATTTTTCAAAAGGAAAATCTTTACCCCCTGCCGACCAAACTGTTCAGCTCTGCAAATGCATCTCTGCCCATCCTCACCCTTCTGTCCCCAACCCTCACCTCCTTGTACCCTCAATATGTTTTTCCCAATAAAAGGAAAAAAAAAAAGGAAAATCTTTATTCAGAAGATTATGAAAGAATGATGGGGAAAGATCAGATTACATGTAGGAAACAGATAACAGATTTCCTAGAACATAATATAGAGGCTATTATGGTATGTTAGTATTAAGGTTATGCTTTAAATCACCCAACTTAGTTGAATGTTCATGTCAAATGAGGCACTGAATAAAACATATATGTATCGAAAGGTTCTCTATCTTCCAGAATCTAACACTATACACTTCTCACATTGTGAAATAGACCATTTTCAGTTTCACTGAACACTGAGTTTAAAGAGGACTATAACACAATAAGCAAATGTTATCCTTGAGCATATACTGCTGTATTTTACTTATTAAAAATCTGTTACTTAATAATTGTATGTCCCTGGATAAGTTAAATAATGTGTGTTTCAGTAAACTCATTGCTATTAAAATGGGAAAAACAGTAATCCTATTACGCAGCTGTTCAGAGGATAACTAAAATAAAACATGAAAAGCACCAAGACAAAGTACACATTGCATTTTAAATGGATATGTGTGGGTAGGTGGTGGGTGTACATGCTTACAAATAAATGTGCTCAACTTCTGAGTTCTAGAATGCTATTATAAACAATGATGAACCTATAGCTACAGCACAATTTTCCTCCAGTTGTTGTTGTGTGCTGTTGAGTCAGAAGCAACTCATGTTTGACCATCCAGCAGGTTTTCAGAGGGAGTAAACTGCACCAAAGGAGTCTGCTCATCCTTCTCTTGTGGAGCACAAACCACCTGCTTCTGTGATTACAATGCAGCTTCTTAGAGGACTATCTAAAACACTGGCAGAAACACCTAAATTCATGTGTGCAAAAGATGAGCACATCAATTTTTAAGTTCATCCTATCACATACTGAGAATGCCCTCTGCTGAAAAAAAAAGGGCTAAATCATTATAAAAAGAAAAAAATATTTTAAAATAGATCTTGTAGAGGAAGGCACAGTGAGGGCAATTTAGGCAGAGGGCTCTCTAGAAGCAAATAGCTGGGTGTTTGGAGCATTTTAATTTAACAAGAATTTCTCTAGTGCTTGTATTTTCCTAATTATTGTTCTAGAAGTTTGGGATACACTGTTGACTAAAACAAAGATTTTGATCTAGTAGTCTAACGGCCCTGGTCGCAGAGTTATGTGTTGGACTGTTAACCAAAAGGTCAGCTGTTCAAATTCACCAGTCACACCATAGCAGATCAATGAGACAGTCTCCCTCATCAAGTTTTACAGCCTTGGAAACTCAATGGGGCTTCTATTTCCCCTTTAAGGCAGACAGAGTTCCTATAATGGTAAGGGGAAAATTTGGTAATAGAGTGGTGATGGTTGCACAACATAATGAATTTAACTGAGCTGCACACTGAAAATTATTCACAAAAAGGGCAGGAAGGCAAAAGGAAATTTTGTGCAGTCTCAATTTTTTACTATAGTAGAAGTTACATTTAACAAAACTCATCAAAGTTTATACCAAGAAAAGGAGAATTTTAATGCTGTATATTAGAGTTCAAAAATTCAGATTAGAAGTTTTTAAGAAAAGTATTTACAACAGCAAATGCTTTTTTAATACATACTTCACAACTTAAAAAAAAATTTTTTTTTCTAATAATTTTTAAAGTAACCAAATGACAAAGAAGACAGTGTGGCTACAGCAGAGTAAAGAGAAGGGGGTAGGGAAGAGAAATAAAGACTCCAAAAAGACTTAAGAAACAAAAGGAAGAGTAACTAAAACTATGAATAACAGTGTAGTAGAAAAAGAAATTAGCTGATAAGCCATTTATTATATAAGCAGATTAAATAGAAGAGGCTCTAAACTAGTAAGGAAATAATAGTATCAGCCTAGAATATAACAACCAATAAATAACAATGCAAATAGAGAAAAAGTAGTGGGAAAAGTTGTGAAAGAATTGAGACAAGGGAAACTAAAACAAGACAGACTCACAAACAGACTGAATTATGTAGACACAACCATGCTTGCTGAAACAGTCTTCAATAAGGATTATATAAATGAAAAACAAATATAACTGAACCAATAAGCAACATCAGAACAAATGAAGAAAAGACTGAAATTGTCAAAATTTCATTTTACTTGGACCCATAATTAACACCAAGGGAAGCAACAGTCAAGGAAACAAAAATGTGATTAGCTTCATATGGAGGTCTCCACTCTTGATCCTCAAACCTACACACAGTAATCAAAAGAGATTGGTACTAGTACAGAGACAGGTACAAAGATCAACATAATAGAACTGAGAACCCAGAAATAAATTCATCCACCTATAGACAACTGATCTTTGAGAGATGAAATCCATCAAGGAGGGGAATGCAGTTTCTTTAACAAATGGTACAGGCAAAACTGGGTATCTATTTGAAGAAAACTGAAACAAGATACATACTTCACACTATATACAAAAACTAACTCAAAATGGAGCAAGGATCTCAACATAAAACTGTAAAGATTATCAAAGAAAAAGGTGAAGCAAACTTAAGAACACTATATTTATGGCTTAACTAGACTATCAAATATAACTGAAAAGGTACAATCAACAGAGGATAAACTAGATGACTGGGACCCTAAAATGAAATGTTTGCATGCATCAAGAGTCAAAAAAGAAGAGTCTGGAATGAGGGTTGCAGAGTGGAGTATACTCGGGGTGTGGATAGGGGTGTGGGTGTGCGGGGGGACTGTATACCAATGAAGGAGTTTTTCTTTTGCTTTTCAAGAAGAGCGAACTGGGGGTAGGGGTGGGGTGGGTGGGGAGAAAAGTGCAACAAT